CATTGCTGAATGGGACAGGCCTAGACTAGTATTTATAGGGCTGTTGGAGCAGTCAGAGGTCACTGTGATGCCAACAGTGGATGGCAAGAGAGACAAGATGCCAAAGGTAGCCCAAAAAGGCAGCACCCATTCGACTGAGGACAGGAGCTTCTTTGATGTGTGCCATTCATACCATGGCCCCATGCCATGTTTGAGTTGGAAGCATTCTGCTATTGGGCCAGCAGTGCAACTGCCACAAAAAGATTTCTCGTTTCCTTCCAAAGATGTGAATGATGCTGATGTCTTCAAACTATTTGAGTACTTTCTCCAATTTTCCATAATAGCACATAAAAGAAATGTCAGAGAGTAGATGTCCAAACTCTGGCACTTCTATCTGAGCTCTGTGTGGGTTCAGTGGCAGAGTTTAGGGAGAAATGCCACATCATCTCTTGGCTGAGCATGTCAGGAAGGTCCAGTGGACAGAGCGAACTCTGTGGGCACACAGACTCAGCCTTCAGTTTTACACAGGGGAAATGTTAGGCATTTCCACCTTGTGATGAAACAAAGTATAGTCAAAGCACCTCAGGACACAGATTTTTCCTATAAAGATCCATTGAAAAGTAACAAACCACAGGACCTGGTCTTCATTGCCACATACTGATCATCACAGAGAACTAGATCATTTTTTAATCAACATTCCATGTCAGGAAAGAAAAAGCTTTTCAAATATCTTCTAGTACTTTCATCCAGGACCAGAACTGTGTTACATGACCTCAAATCCTATTGTCAGGAAGGTTCTTGGACAGAGGTTTACTTTATATCTCATAATCTTAGTGAAAATGAGTAAGAGATAAAGAACTGGAAATGGGAATTGTGATAGCTAGCCCTCCCATTTCACATGGGCAGGTACAATTATTCCTGTGACATAATCAAGGAAACCGGAGTCTGAACAGCTTAAGTAACTGGGACAAGGTAAGTGACATGGTAAGTGGTGAGATCAGGATTTGAACTTAAGCACCCTCTGTCCAGGGTGTGTGTACCTGACACCATACACCACCTCTTCTCTAAAGTTGATCTTCCTATGGTTCCTTCTTAGAGGACCCTGTAACTTTCCCTGAGGGCTCTAATCACCATTTACAATTAAATATTTATTTTAGTTAGACATTCATTTCATCTCTGCTTGCCCAAATGGATAGTAATCTCTGTGAGAGCTGAAACAGTCATTGTTTTATTTACCCCTGTGTGTGTGCAATACACATGTTTCTCACACATAACCAGTCAGTTAATATTAACTCCATGAATAAATGAATTCAAAAAGTATGCAATGTGATATTAATCCTGTGCTAGTCAGGAACTTGAAGACTTCAGAGCAGAAACATGTACTTGAACTGAATAAAGGGCAAAGAAGACTCCAGGATCATGGTCAAGATTAGACCCAGAGTGATGGAATTAAATTTGAGAAACCAGAAGTGAGACTAGAAAGAAAAATTAAAAAGAGACAACTGTGCAGAAGAAATGAACCAACTTGATGACTTGAGACAGTCTTGAAAACAGAGCAGAGATTTCAATATTAATAAAGAGACCAAGATTATTGTGAATCTGAGTAAAATCTCAGCAATGATCATCCTGGTCATTTTATGTAGATTTGATCGGAGGCTGTACAGAGATGTTTCATGGAACGGTGAAAAAAACTTAATTGACCACAGCATAGGAAATAGAAAGTGAAGACAGATAATCATTATGCCCAGGTTGTTACTAGTAGACTTTAGTAGATTTGAGTTTATGAGGACAGATATACAGAGATACAGAGAAGTAGGTATAAAGCAACTCCAAGTTTTTGAGTTGGTTAAATCAGTGCATTGGGTAACAAGTTAGAAATTCAGACAGGGAGCTACTTAAGGAAGAAAGATTATGAGCCAAGTTTGGAAAATGAGGAAAGTAAAAATGTTCATAGGAAGCTGGAAACAGATGGCTAAAAATTATTACAAAAAAAAAAAGGAAAAACTGGATAGTCAGACTTGGAAGTGAACACAGATCACATACTGAGAAAGAAACAGACTCATATTTCTCAGCCATAGGATTAATTCAGGCTGAGGCAGTAAACAAACTCCATGTTATTCCCCAAATTCTGACTTTTCCTGCCTTGGTCATCAGCAATGTCTCCCTGGGTCTCTGAATGACTATAAAACAGAACATCTACTCCTCCCTCAAATTGAACCAAACCAGCTATATGCTACCAATAAGAAATAAATCATGTTAATTATGTCAATTCAATGAGGGCTCAGATTTAACACTTAAGTATTGCAGACCCCAGCCTTACACAAACAGAAGTTCACAATCTGGATTAAGGTAGTAGATCTCAATGAAAGGCGAAAGTTGAGACTCAAAGAACATAGAAGAGTGAAAAGCAGTTGGCAAATGTTGTGAATGGGAGGATGAAGTTGACTTTATGGAAAAGTTAGACTAATATTTCTGCAAACCAAGAGTGAACAATGAGCTCAAACTTTGAATCGCCTTTGGTACTTCTTATCAGTATTGATAAGCCACCTTTTCTAAGAATTGACAGGAAATTCAATTATTGATTATTCATGGTAAATGTTTGTAAAAAAATGTGAAATAATTCACATGACTGTGAAATGCAAATAGGTACAAGCAATTTAAAAGCAATTTAACATTGATAAATAGCATGAATACTTCCTTTAATAGTTGATGCATTTTTTTCATTTTTCCCTATAATCAGTGTTTTTTTCCTATTCTATTCTATTCAGTATGTACTGTTAGCATTGTATCTTACCACTGGTTAGTAAATAATTGTTGAATGAATGAATAAGTGCATAAATAAAAGTGAGAAATAGAGGTAAATGACTGAAATAATTAAATTAGTTAAAAACTTATTCAATTCATCCAGGAAGCAAAGACCTACAAAATGTGTTTTCTAGTTTAACATTAGCAACAAATATGCATTCAGTTAGGATATCAAGGTTTTTACAATTTACACTAATCCTCTAACCAGTGATTTTTGACCCATTTAAAGATGATTTTAAAATATTGAATGTAATTGGAATCAATAGTACTAAAGGGGGAAAAAAGGACTCAATAAAAATGGCAGGGAGTCTATAAATACCTATATTCTTATCGTACTGAATGATTTTAATATTTATTGAATATTTTTGTAAGAATAAAATAAAGAAAAAAAGTATAAGAATCATATCTGTTGGCACAAAGGGGATAAAGCGGGAGCAGCTCTATCATCCATCTATATATCAGGAAGAACTTGCTGATGGTGGGAGATGTCAGGATGAGAAAGGGCATAATCTGTCGAGTTATAATATTAGACTGGACAAAGGATTTGAACATATATCACTGAAATCAGCCTTTCCCTACAGAGATAGAGACTAGCCAAGCTAATGGATAACAGTGATATGCACTGCTTATTTACTAGGTGAGATCTGTCAAAGCAAAGACAAAGTAAAGACAAGTCAAAGCAAAGACAAGTAGTTCCAAGTATACCACTTGTGATACTAAGACCCAGAATTGATATAATTAGCAAAATTGCCCAAAAAAAACTAAAAAACAAAACATGAATTTTGTGTCTTATATTTGTGTGTATTCTTTGCTTTCTACCCAAATTTCCACCACAGAAGCAAAGCACTGTGTGTGTGTATGTGTATTACGAAGATGCTTTGTGAATTACAGAACACAAAGAGCAATAGGATCTTCAGGTCATTTTTGTGAAAGATAGCACTGGCAGATGATAGATAAAATCACCTATTCATTTGGAGGAGCTAACCCTCCCCTTATTTACCTATTTTATCAATTATACAAATATTTATTATGTTATTCATTATGTGGCAACTATGTTGCCTCTACTCTCTTAGAGCACACACTCTAGTAGTTGATGGTGTAATCATGAAATAATTAATCAGTAAAGTATAATTTATATTCACTTGTCCATTTCTGCACTGAACTGAGATATTTTTAGGTAAGAAAATGCCTTGTATATCTTGATGTTACCCAAAAATGGCAGAGAAGATGTGGTACACAAACACAGTGGAATATTACTCAGTAATCAAAAAGGATAAACGTATACCATTTGCAGCAATGTGGATGGAGCTGGAAGGGATCATGCTCAGTGAAATAAGCCAGAAAGAAAAAGAGAAATATCAGATGGTTTTACTTATAGGAGGAATGGAGAGGATCCAAATAAGGGATCAAAAAAATGAAAGTAATTATGATAAGTAAAAATCAAAATCAACAGGCAACTATAAACCAGAGAAATTCTGCATGGGAAGAGAGTGGAGTAGGATCAAAACAGAGGTGGGAAGAGCACAAGGGGTAAAAGGGAGGTAGGGATTTCACAGGGACTATAACCAAGATTAAAATGCATACATTGCACAAAAATGAAAAATGATGTAAAAAATATGTATAAAATAATAATAATAAATAGCAAAAAATGAAAAATGATGTAAATATATATATATAATAAAATAATAATAAAAAATAGCAGAGTGTGTGATAAAGAGCAGAGGCATATGAAAATGTCGCTAAACAACAACTGTGGGATAATTATGCAAATGAACGGGAAAATGCAGGAGGGAAAGTAGGTGGAAAAAAAATAATAGGATGAACTTAAGTGATTTTATTGATGAGCATGTCCTCAAATGAACAGAACACTGCTTCATCAGCTAAAATTAATCTTTCAGAAATCAAAACTTCAGGAAAAATTTACTTCATTCAAAAGTTAACAGAATATAGACTTTTCTTTTATCTTTTGTATTTTTTTATATTTTATTTTATATTATTCTCACATCATTTTTCATGTTTGCACAATGTATGCATTTTCATTTTTGTTAATTCCCCATACAATTCCTACCCCCCTTATTTTGATCCTAATCCCTCCTCTCCTCCCCAGTCCCCATTAGTGTGTCTCTGGTTTATAGTTGCTTGTTGATTTTGATTTTTTCCTGATTATAATTAGTCTTTTTCCTGGTCCCTTATCAATCAAAAAAAAATAAACTCACGCAATTTGCAGCAACATGGATGGAGCTGGAAGGGATCATGCTCAGCGAAATAAGCCAGAAAGAAAAAGAAAAAGAAATTGACTTTTAGAAAAATGACCGCTCTCCATCATGTATACTTATAATTAAGATTAGCTTCAGGAAACCAATATTTCTTTCCCAGTTCCAGCCTGAAATGATCTCACATGGAGGAATTTGTAACATTTGAAAGTCTCTTTTTTTCACTTATAAACAGTATAGTCCTTCCTATTCATGGGGACACACAAGCAGTTTATGCGAAAAACACAAAATTCTATATAAGTCCAGTTGGTATATTTATATCCTACTGAGAAGTATGATATAGATATTAATGTGGGTGAACTCAGAAGAGAATGACAATTTTCATGTAACAGAATAACTAACATCTTCCCCCAACAACCTAGAAAATTGGTCTTAAATGAACTTGTGCTCCATGACCTAAGGAAAGTAAAGTCTTTGGCTATTTCCATAAAAATTTCATCCCTATGCTCTAAAATGTTGACCTGGTATTTCTAAAATTACTCCGCGATCCATATTTACTACATATCTAATGAAATCCTTTTATTTTTGTACCTGCAATGCTAATCGAGAACCACATCCTCATCCTGCAAAAGAATCCAAAGCTACTATTACTACAGAGACAACCTTTAGGAAATCAAGGAAGAGAATTCATCAAAGGAATTTGGTCTGTTATACTTCTCTAAACAGGTAAATGATGAATCATTTCAAGATCAAAAAATTGGGGTAGAATCTAATTGATATCAACTATGTGGATATGATGATGGAAATAAGAGTCAACATTGATTGAGTGCCTACTCTGAGCCAAGCACTTTCACATTTTCTTATTTAATTCCCAAAGCAATCATTATAATAGATACAATTGTTAATCTTTATAGAAGAAGAAAATAGTACAAATAAATCAAGTGGGATTCTTGTTAGTTTAATCAGGAATTTGGTACTAAAAGCATTTGTGGTTAAGAGAAGCCAAAATAGTCTAGAACTATGACCGCGGAATTGAAGTAAGTAGAGGGGTACAGTAGGGATGTCGACAAAGTGGGGAGGTACACAATAAAATTGATAAGGGTGCTCTTGGGTGCTTGGGATATGGAGATGCTCATCTGAAGAAGTGTGAAACTATTTCTCTGGTTCATATATAGTGCTGGAAACTAAGGTTACCTCAAAAAATTGAAGTATTTTTTTATAAAACAATCAAACTTGGGCCTCCCTGGTGGTGCAAGGGGTTAAGCACAGCACTGTGAGGCTATCCACAGCCTCTAGAGCATGGGTTCGATCCCCAGCTAGTCAGCGAGATACCCACATGGTGCAGCAGACCTCTCCTGTCTCTTGCCTGCTGCTCCCCTCAGCAGCGTATTTTACTAGATCTGCCTGTTCTGCTCCCCACTCTGTCTCTGGTGAATCCTCTCACCCCCCATACCTCTGGCCTGTATCCCACTTCTTGTATACATACATAAATAAATCTTTAAAAAATATAATCAAACTTGAGGAATACTGAGCACAACTCAGATGCTGCTACAGAAGGGATACTGATCCTGCCTCTGAATGCTCTACTATGAGATCCCAACTCTGACACAGAGTCAGAAAAATACTGCATCTGTCCCTGCATCTCAGGTCATTCCCTCAAAGTTCAGAGTCTGACAGAGGAGCTGTGCTGAGGTCACATGTCTATGTAACTTGACAGGAGCTAGGAAAAAGACCTATCTATTCCTTCAACTTGTGTCCTCTTCTGGCTTCCTTCCTGGGAAATGTGATCTTGCCTGCTTCATGGGACCTCCCTGCTGGTGTAAGTGGTTAAGACGCAGCACAATGAAGCTAGCCTACAGCCACTGCAGCATGAGTTCGATCCCTGGCCAGGGAGGTGACCAACATGGCGCAGCAGACCTCTCCTGACTCGCCCGCTGCTCCTCTCAGCAGTGTATTTCAGTTGATCCACCTGTTTTGTTCCCCACTCTGTCTCTGGTGACTCCTCTTACACTCCACACCTCTGGCCTATTCCCCAGATCCTGTATGCATAAATGAGTAAATCTTTAAAAAAATATATTGCCTGCTTCAAATAATCTTCAGATTCCCCCCAGAATGGGAAACCAATTGAGTCAGTGAAAATGTCATCTACATCGCTCTCAAAAGTTTAAAGGTAGGGTTATTAGGAAACTGTACTTTTTAGTTCTATAACTACAGCATCCAGCTTTCCTGTGCTGCTGTCCTTATCTTATTCTGATTTGGATCCACAGAGCAAATGCCATCCTGAAAGACTCTGGGAGTGTGACTGCCCATAGAAAAGACACTTCACTGAACACAGAAAACAATTGTTTGCAACCTAAATCATTCTTTCAAATGAATTAGGTGAGGTTTATAGCATTTCTCTCATTCTCTCTGATTCTTTTCTATTTCTTAGTCAAATGGTGAATGCTCAGGAATTAATTACAATATTGCTCCTACCTGCTCATATCCATATTGGTGATTTACTTCTAACCTTAATGAGGGATCCATTAGAAAATTAATTATGTTTTCTACAGTATACATTTATTATTAGCTGTTGGAATGTGTAAATGCTATCATGCAATGATGACATCATCCAACTTCATTAATAAAATGGATTGTCTTTTTTTTTTTTTTAAGGAATTTGGGTACTATTGATTGCAAATAGTTTTGACCTAAAGGGTCTTAACAATTTTCCATTAAAAGTAAAAGTAAACAAGGACTCATTATGGAATAACACTTTTAAAATACAGTCTGTTTGACCATATACTGATAAACTCAATGAAAGGAGGTGATATTATCATACTGATCTGGATTTGAAAATGGTTCAAAGCATGAATTTGAAGGTAGTGTATGAATTTGAAGAGAGCATATGAAAAATCCTTCTAAATAATTCTTATATTCAGGATATAGAAATAACAATAAAAAATGAAAAATACCAAACCCTACAGACATCTTTATCACAAAAAAATCTACATTGCATATTAAGGCTAAATAGTAAACAGTATCATATAATTTTTTTAAGTTTTTTTTTAAAGACCAAAAAACCACATAGCAAGTCATCATGTGTTAAATTTGGAAATAGAAGAGCATCATAAAAAGTAAAATAATTTGACTTTGAAAAATAATAATATACTTAGTAGGTATAAACAGAAAAACCAGTCTCTCCTATGACTAGGTATTTCACTGTGACAAAGGTTAACTTTGATCTGTCAGACAAACTCATCATTCACTGCAGTGTAGATCTTTGCTCCATTTTTTACCTTTATTACAATATATACCTTTAATTTTAAAGGAAAGAGGAAGTAATAAGTAGAAATTTAGCAAGTAGACATTTCTGTCATTTATTCATTAAGGTATAAAACATTTATAGAGCAAACATAAGCCAGGAGGGAGCTATCAACAGGATCATCTCTGCTTTCAAAGTGCTAATAGTCAAATAGTGGACATATAATATGGAAATAATGTATATAAGCAGAAAAATACAACAGTCATATTAAAGAGTAAGGTAAGGAAGTTTTGAGGAGAGAAGTTTTAGCTCTAGGCAAGGTTTTCATTTTTATTTTTAAATTAAAATCATATTTTATTTTGTATTGTAAGCTGGTATTTTCTGTCCTATGGAAACAATTTGCATCTGGGTTATGCATTAACTTGAATATAAGGCATGACAAAAAAGAAAAGGAATGGTGGTATCATGTTCCCAGGCTTCAAACTATACTACAAGTCTATAGTAGTAAAAATAGTATAGTATTGGAATAAGAATAGACACACAGAACAATGGAATAGAATAGAGAGCCCAGAAATAAACCCACATGTACACAGGCAGTCAATCTGCAACAAAGGAATCAAGAGTATTCAATGTAGAAAGGAAAGTCTCTAGGGAAAGCCTCTTCAACAAATGGTCTTGGGAAAACTGGACAGCTACTTGCAGAAAACTGAAACTAGAACATTCTCTTACACCACATACAAAAATATAATTCAAAATGAATTAAAGACTTGCATGTGAATCTGGAAACCATAAAGTTCATAGAAGAAAACAGGCAAAACAATCCATGACATTGGCTTTGGTGATGTCTCTGGGGACTCATCTCCAAAGGCAAGGGAAGCAAAAGCAAAAATAAACAAGTGGGACTGCTTCAAACTTAACATATTCTGCATGGCAAAACAAGCAAACTACCATAAAGATGAAAAGACATCCTACTGAACGGAGCAAAATATTTGCGCCTCATATGTTGAACACGGGTAACAGGCAAGACCTACAAAGAATTTGCAGTACTAAACAAAAAAGAAAACCAAGAATATAATCAAGAAATGGGCAGAAGAGCTAAACAGACACTTCTTCAAAGTAAGACAAGCAGATGACTGACAAGCATGTGAAAAATATTTAATATCACTTATCATCAGGGAAATGCAAATTAAAACCACAATGGAATATTACCTCACTCCCATGAAAATGGCCCATATTAATAAATAAATAAATAAATAAATGCATAAATTTTGATGAGGGTGTGGAGAAAAAGGAACTCTTATATACTGTTGGTGGGAAAGTAGACTGGTCTAATTTCTTTGGCAAACAATATTGAGGTTTCTCAAAATATTACAACTAGATCTTCCATATGATCCAGAAATTCTACATTTTGGTATTTATTCAAAGAATGCAAAAAATCTAATTAAAAGGGATTTATGCATCCCTATGTTCATTGCAGCACTATTTACAATAAACAAATTATGGAAACAACCTAAGTGCCCAACAACTGATGAGCAGGTAAAGAAGATATTGTATATATGCAAATGGAATACTACTCAACCATATAAAGAGATTTAATCTTACCATTTATGACAATCTGGATGAAACTGGAAGACATTTTGCTGAGTGAGGAGAAAGATAATACTAGATGATTTCTCTGATGTGGGTTATAGATAAACAAAAAACAACTGCACTGAGACATATCATTCTTGAACTACAAATACACACACACACACACACACACACACGCATATATATATATATAT